TCATAGAAGGAGATTCTGAAGTGGTGGTAAACTGGCTGAAAGAGGATAGTCTTAGACTTTGGAATTRCAGTAATGAAAAGAGGAAATTCAAGTGGCTGACTAAGGACATGGAAATCCAATACAAATGGGTAAAAAGAAGTGYGAACTCTTTGGCAGATGGTCTAGCTAGACATGGGTGAACAGACATTCTATATTTTGGTTTGTCTTGTAACTTTTGTTTTTGATGTTTAATGGTTGTTCTTGGGAGCTAAGATTGTTTAGCCCCCATGCCCTGTAACTTTCTCATATTTTTAATATTAATACAATCCACAGTTATTGATCAAAAAAAAAAAAATTATAGGACTTCAAATTTTCTTTTCTTTTGGCATTCTTATTTGGGTTATTGAAGTTGTATTTGAAAGTATGATAATATTATCTTTCTCATGGGACTTATTTTTGTTTAATATACCACTATATAAGCATCTGAGCTACTGTATTTGTTCTTATAATTTTCTTAATGTTTCCTTCTTACTATTTTTCTGTTTTTAGTGCAAGAGTTTCAAGGGGATCATAAATAGGTGTCAAATAAGAAACTTGATTTGCTTTCTAACAGGTCTTCTATGCATTTTTCTTCATTTAAACTTTTCTTTTTTACTTAATTTTTAGATAACATTTGAGCTTTTAAGTTGTGTTGTGTTTTTATCTTTCCATGTTATTGGTTACTGGTATTATGGTTATTGGGTATTGATTATGGATTACAAGAAACTTTAGCTTAACTTTTCTTGGCACTTTGCAGTCAACAAACCTGAGTTCAACACTATATCCAATTGTTGATTTGTTACCATTTCTTGGTTGTTTTCTGCTGGAGTTATTTCTTTCCTTTCTTGATAGTCTTTTAATTGGTTTAACTTGATATTCTGAATCTAACAGATTATTTGTTACGTATGTCTTCTGCTCCTACCTTTTTGTTTCCCCTTTCTTGGGATTCAATGCATATTTGTTATGACTTTTTCAAGAAAAATTCACTCGAATTTCAGCCTATTTTACATTTTAGAGTTATTGATGTTTATTACCCAGATTATTTCATTTGAAATGGCTGAGCTTAGGACTGTACCTAATTCAGCTCTCCCAGGATCATTGGGGTTCACATTGAATTCTTGGGCTGACTTTTTCTTGTTTTCTTGTTTTATTTTAGGGGCCATGACTTGGTGCAATGGTAAATTCTTGGGCCGGGTGGAAAAACAGATTCAAGCCAGAGAGATGTCATTTCATTATAAAGATCATATGAAGAGCACCCATATTATAGACAATTTGTGAAGAATGGATCTCTAGAATACTTCTAAACAAAATCCAACCAAAGGAGCCATTAATTGGGGTGATAAAAACAAGGGTCATTCATTGGATCAACACCATGGAGAAATTCTCTTGTTTCACAATTGATAACATTGTTATAGAATGGATTGTGGTGGCATCATCATCCTCAAAGACGGACAGAAGCAACATTACATGGACACCTCCACCACAATAAAGGATAAAAATGAATTCTGATGGTTGAAGTTTTGGAAATCCAGGTTAATCAGTTATTGGTTCATTGTGACACCACAGGAACAGGGGGGAGATTTTAATGGCTTATTCAGGGAAAATAGGTTGGGGAAACTTAATAAGAGCAGAACTGCATGCTGCACTGCAAGGACTTGAGACCTTGGAAACCTGATTATAAAGGGGACTCATGGGTGATCATTAGCTGGGCAAGAGAAGCGGAAGGCCCGTGTCACCTAAGTCATCAAGTCAGGGAAGCAAGACTTCTGTCTGGCTTGGATAGAAACAGAAATTTATCGGGTACCCCAATCTGCAAAGTGCAAACCCCCTTGCAGACTCACTAGCTTGAGAGGGAGTAAACAGACAGGCGTCAAGTTGGGGAAATTATCCTTGAAGTAAAGACGACGATACTTTAAGGATGGTCGATGTTCAGTAGGCGTCATTGCTAGAGACCACAGAGGAAGGCTGATAACTGCAAAAGCGAAAGGTATTGGAAGATCTATTATGGTTGCAGAGATGTGGGCTTCAAAGCTAGTCCATGAGGTTGCCGTTCAGCCAGGAGGTCAGTGAATCTGCATTGAAGGAGATTCTCAAGTTGTCATGAACTGCCTTCTTAGGAAGATCACCTTCACCCCTCCATGGAGATGTAGCAGCTTGCTCAAGGATTGCCAAGTTATAGCCAAGGTTCAAAATATCGATAATAGCGGCGTATGGGCGAATTGATACTGTTTTTTTTTTTTTTTTTTTTCTGAAACCAGTTCAGGGGGATGATTTAGGGCTCCTCCATCCCCTGAACCGGTCAGACCCCCGATACACCCACTATAGGGGCGTATTGGCTCTACGTGTCATACTTTGAACCTTGGTTATAGCCAAACATTCAGGACTCCAGGTGGTGTATGGGCACACATGGCGTGAAGGAATCCAAGCTGCGGATTGGCTTGCAAATAAAGGATTGGAAGCTGACTGTAACATCTCAGAAGATCCTACGTGGGAGCTTAGTTTCATTTTGTTTATG